AAGTGTATCATTTTTGTGTCATAGCAAACACAACTGTTCTTCCGTTTCTGATAGAAAAGGTTGTATCATTTACATATAAAAGAAACAGGAATGGGCTTAATATTGATCCCTGGGGGACACCAAGCTCTGTTGGCAGCAAGTTGATTATATTCATATCAGTCAAATTTACTGTTTACCCTGCGCAGATTTCCACTAAGTGATGTTGTATCATTGGTGTGTACTGTACCTTTCATAAAAACAAAAAGTATGATGATGACTATGATGTATTGCGGTTTTACTTAACAAAGAAACAAAAAGTGTACCAATTTTTAAAATAAAATTAGTGAAAAGATAATCCTTTTTCGTTTGTAGGAAATATTTGGATTTTTATTACTTGTGCCACTACTTCTAAAAGTGAAGGCAAAAGTGAATTTTTAAAACTAAATTTTCTATTTATGATAATTTTTTTATAGATCCAATGGATTTAAAAACTACTTTGGGAACTTTTCAATAATTATTTTTGTAAATTAAAATTTAGAAACAATTATATTATGTGAGAAATTTTATTTAACACTTGAGTATTTTTATTTGAAAATTTGACAGTTTGTAAAAATGTGCACCCCAGTGTGGTGTACAAAAGAATGACATTGATCTGAGCATGCGACAGAATTTGTCATAAATTTAGGGTAAAGTGATTAAATATTTGTTTGGTATTGGGTGGAAGGGGAGAGCGGGCTTCAACAAGTTTCCAGGTGTCAGAGTTTGTGACTATGATAACCAGTTTGTGAACAAAGCAAGCATGTTTTTGTCCATTGTATTAAAACTAGTTCATAATTAAATTGCATTGTTACTCAGTAACGTGGTCACAATTTGGATTTCTTTATGATTGGGGAGTATATTCTCCGAGCGTAATTGCGTCCAACAAGGTGGCAGGATGGTGACAGTTAAAACTAGTTCAGTTAATAAGCTGTAACAGTTACTTCATTCTGCGATGTGATATGTGCACAAGAAAAATTAGTGTAATTTTGCTGATCTGTTTTTATTATTTAGGAATGAACGAATCCTGTTTTTTGAAGAGTTTTATCCTATATTTACTCAACATAAAAGTGACGAAAAAAGCCAGGTGAAGGAGAAAGTGAACAAATCAGGGTCACAGAAAATTCGCCTTGGAAGGAAAACCAAAGAACAGGTAATGCATGTCAAGTTATGGATACATTGAATTGTTCTGTTCTGTAACTGATAGTGAATAATCGCGAAGAAATTACTTTTGCTTTCAGAATGAGGAAATCCCCGATACGGAATCAAATAATTCTGCTGCAAGAGGGGATGGTGCTCATGAGGTAGAATTTTTTACTTCTTTGAACTCGATGAAATATGAAAACAATAAGTATTACATTCTAATGTTTTTGCAGGTAAAGAAACGTGTTTTGGAAAAGGAAGATTCAGAAGAAAATTTGAAATCGGAAGGAGGAAAACCACTTAGAAAAGTAAAACGGCGGAAAACGGATAAAAAACCACCCGGTGTCTTCGAAGTTTTTGTGGACCGCTGTGCCAATTTATTTGCTGTTGATAGGCCGGAGTTTCAGGCTGATCGTGCAAAATGTATTAGATTTATGCGAGCTATGTGGTCTTCAATGACCGAGGAAGAGAAATCACGGTAAGTTTCTTGTATGATACTGATTGATATATTAATCTGGAAAATGACAGCGTTATAATTGTAAAAAATCAATGGTAAAGTCTTTTCTACGTGAAAGAAATGTTATACATGTGACCAGACTTCTCTGCACTAAATTGAAACGTTGAGTTTTGATGACCGCAAACATCATTAATTATTAAAATTCGGCTCGGTAGAATAGGAACTCAGCAATTTTTTGCTATTGCTAGTGTTTAAAGGCTCCCACAGACCGGCGCGGAAAGTTCCGCGGTAGACGCGGCGACTGAATTCGCTGGTCCGTTCATAGCGGATCGTCAATTGAGAGTCAGCATTTGGTGACAGTTTTCCTCATCCGATTAACAAAACGAGCTCGCTTCTATTCATGTACGAAATATAAAATGCCAATACTCGTAGTACGCTTTCTGAGCACATGCGGCGCGGTTTTACCTTCTTTATATACGATTTTCCGTAAAATTATTAATATCTGTTTAGGAAATGAAGAAAAGGAGTCCACGATTTTGACCTAGAAAGGAAAAAGTACGGAGAATTTTATACCTTGATGTCACAAAGGACTCGAAACGCTTTTATATTTACTAAAATGACCAGTTACTGTTACTGACATTTCTAAAATGTACAAAATTTTGGGGACGAAAAATGTAAAAAATTGAATTTAATGTTATTTAAAATTAATTAAATTACTGAAAACGATTAGAATTTTTTCCCTCGCCGTTCAGTCTTCTCAGATTTACTGGCGAGCTGAAAATATTCGACATCTTAACGACTCTTTGCCTTGGTTTCCACAGCGAAACGCGAAGGCAAGAGAGTTCAACTTAGAGGGGAGCGAAGACTCCCGAAGGCAGGCGGCCTTCCACGCAACTCAAGCGGCAGCGGAAACAACGCGTCCGATTGCGTTACAAAATCCGCCGCGGATTAAACGCTGCCAATCCTGTGCCGCGACGCTCGCCTGCCGCGCAAGTCTGAACGTGCTCATACGGCAACACGTAACGTAAAACTTAAGCTGAGGCCATTTCGCGTAGGCTGCGGATTTTCCGCGCCGGTGTATGGGAGCCTTGAGGCTTCCTCGCAAACCCGCGTAAATACATTTGGAAAGAGGCACCACATAATCTATCCATTATGCATTACTGCGAGCGTTCGGAAATTAGAATATACTAGAGATATACCCGCCCATTAAATGAGCGGTTTCTTTTTTTCTCTATTTGGTAAGTAATCATGTAAAGAAAAGAAACTTGATTGAAAATAATCAATGATTTTAAATTCTTTGCTTTATACATTTTTCTTTTGTAATTTCTCAAGATCCTTCCCCAGAGTTCGTGCTCTCTCCATACTTAATTCGGCATTGTCCACCGTCTTTAAATATTGTAATGCACCCTTCACATCTTTTAATGCCTCTGTGACTGTTGGACCACCGTCTGCCTCTCCAAAGGCCCTTTTACTTGCCTAATACATACGAGATCCTTTCGGTAGCGGAAAGGCGCAAGCGGCTAATGAAACTGCTCGTTTTTCCGCGCGGCGCAATGGTGTCGCCAGGCTATGGGTCTGGCAGTATTTGTCGCTTACGTGTAACACAACATTCCTTGCCCCGCGGAATACTTCAAGCTTGAAACTGAAGCAAACAATCACACGTCGCCGCCGCATGTTGTAACGACATGCCCTTTTGTTTCCACAGAGAAACTGAATGGTATAAGGTCATCAGTAAGGACCCAATTCCGGGTCCGCTACCATCACCTCAAGGGAGACGTCTTCGATTATGAATTTTGGCCGACGGTATTTTTTCAAGCTGCCTAGCGTTGGAATTTGTGGCACCGACGTGATACATTCTTTTCCAGGAGGGAATCAATTTCCAGCACGTATTTCCTATGTTTACTATAACTCAGGTTGACTATAGCCGAATCGTCTTATGCTTATTTGTAATGTAAGTGAAACGGAAGCCAGTGTCTTAAGTTCACTTTAACCGAGGGTTCAATATAACAGGATTCGACTGTAATTGATTTTTTAATGGCAAATAAAAGTATTGAAATTTTCGTACATTTAATATAGTTTGATGTCTCTATGTTAATAAAATCAATAATTGTGGAACAATTCTATTTAATTTTGACATCATCGGATATATTGAACCAAAACTGTTGGTCCCCAGAAGTTTACTATAACCGGAGTCTACTGTATTACGATTTCAAATTATGACATTTGCGCCAATGACCAGAGCCTTTAAAGCTCAATCAATCCCGTTTCTTTTAACCTGTAATGAAGGTAAAATGATGAATGTTGGTACGGTAAAGCGTGTTACGGATATTGGAAAATTCGCTAAGTTTCAGGCAGAGATTGACCAACGCACAATCTGTTCGACTGTAGGTCTATCGGATTGAAAAATGATAAAATTGAAGGAAAGTGTCAATCGTGGTACAATATGCCGTAGTTATTGTTCGTGATATTTTTATTTGTGGAGGAATTCAATCATCGATTTTTGAAAATAAGAGTAATATTTTTCTACATTTGATAAGATTCTGCATTATGCATTGAAAAATACTGTGAAATATAGTTTACCAGGGTTGCTGTTATGATCACATTGGACAAATTTCCGTATTATACATGTTCTTTTTCAGTGCCAGATTTTTTATAACACATGTCATTCTCAATGCCTGGTAAATGGTGGCAGACCCCTACCACGTGAATTTTGAATGTGTCATTTTGTTGTAACAGGATGAATGAATTACTTTAAATTGGGACACTTGATTGTGGCAACTATGATGAGCCGGCCGGCCGGTGCGGCGGTCGTTCATACTCGCGCCAAAGCTAAGGTGACCGGAGGTCTCGTATTAGCCGGGACAGTCCCTTTTTACTTTCGCGTATACGTACGTATATTCGGAGTAATATACGTAGTATAGGGAAAGTTATGTAATGCTTGGGAAAATCGATTTCGAGATTTCAATGGAAATCCATGTTTTGGTGGCCCCTGATCCAGAAAACGTTTTTTTAACGGCCGTCAGTCAGTCAGTCCGTCCGTCCGTGAACACCACTTGCGCCTAACCTATACCTAAGATTTTTTCCCAATTGAAGAAACCCGTGTCCATCTGGCTCGAGTCGAAGCTTAGAGATTTTGAAAACATTCTTCAAAATTTGGGGATACCTTACATGAAACCCGTGGGACATTTTCAGAATTCTCATTTTTTTTGAAAGATCTCCCACGCTGTTAATATGCATGTTTCCAGTACTTTGTAAACACAATTGTATTTGTGAGTGCTTCATATGACTCCAATTTTTTTGTGAAAAAGCTTCAAATTTCGAATTTACATCAGCGCTTAAACGACATTTTCTTAAAAACGGCTCCAAATTTTTCAAAGAAAATTGCAATTTAAAACCGAGGTTGTACTGTTCTTTAATATTCATAAAATAATATTTCCGTTGTATTATTAGGAAACCTAAAAATTAAGAAAATGTCAAAAAGATATACTTTGGGTGGCGACAGATGGCAGCTGGCAAGAGTATGTGGCAACTTCGCATAACTAGCCGAGACCAAAGGAAATATAAAACATAGGGGAAAGTGTGCCATTCTAGAGGACCACTAGTTTGGTTTTTAAGAACTGGTTACTTTAACCAGAGCGCAACTCGGCAGCGATCGTACCCGGGGTCAACCGACTGTCTGCACCATTTTTCACCGACGCACTTCATCTCCACTTATTGGAGTGAAAATTATTTCAAAATCTTTAGTGGGAAACCAATTTTTTAAATAAAATCTTGGTTTTCCACGTGTATTTATTTTAGAAATTCTAAGACAATTCACCGCCTCTAATTATCAATTATCGAACTCAATCACCGCCCCGCGGCTATAAGGGATGAGATAATTTTGGACTTTAAATTTTTGGTGGTTCGATACTTATCGATACTACCAAAGCCACTTATATTTCAACCCTTAGTGATGGTGGCCATCTTTGTGACGTCACGCTCAGAAGGCTGAGATTCCTCTACCTTAAACTATTTACGTATTCTGTGTACACCACGGTTTGCGCAGACTGGCGAGGTTCATTTGAATAATTATTGATTTACGATTTACTCTCGCAGCAACTAGAAGTAGTTCGTAGTATTAATACATATTGTTTGATTCCGATGATTGTTTCTCACGCGTGTAATGAAAACATTCATTTAACGTTTTGCCGAGGTCTACAAGTGCTGTGTACCTAATTGTGGAGGGATGTGGGTGTACAGTGAAGAGTGAAGAATTATCTTGATAGGTTTGGTTTGTGTTTTACCTGTACAAGTATTTTCGTTATCAGCAGTGATTCGGTGAAACTTTCAAGTCAGCGTGTGTAGTCACCTAGCTTTCTCAAGAGTAAAAAAAAAAAAAAAACTTTTAAAATATTTTTGTAACTATCACGAAAAGCGAGAAGCTAACTGTCAAAGAATATTGAATAAATACTTCAAATATAATTAAGGAAATGTGGATTTCTCCAAGAAATCTCTCGTTAGTACTGAATATAAATCTTAGCGAAAATTTATTTTCAACATCAATTGGATTGTTTTATTATTTTTGATGTTGTGTTAGTACATTGGAAATTACCTTTAAAACATTTTTAAACAAATAAATACATTTCGTTAACAACTTCCCCTCTTAGAATAGAAATACAATGATAGGGAAGAGTATGGGGTTTAACATGCAAGAGTTCTCGCAAGGGTACGCGGAGGTAGTAGGGAAAAAATTGTGCTACGGCACAGCACAAACTTATTAAATTAACTAAAAGAAAATAGCTTGAAATAAATGACCAACAAAAATGAAAACGTGTTAGCCTACAATACTACGTGAATTAAATTACAAATTCAAATTTAAAATTATAGAAAGAATAGTCCAAGTCACTCGACAACTGCCAACGATCACAACCCAGACGCACGAAGTGTTGGCGGTATCTGGAAGTCTGCATCAATGCCCATCTGTAAGCTCCTATTGTAAATAATACACCGTTTGATATTAAACCTAAGGTGTCGGTTAGCTAAGATACTCAATACGTAAACTTCGTTTGAACAACATTCCCGTGTGCTGACGTGAAGTCTAAGCCTTCTGAATTGTTTCTAACAAATAGTATTTATTACTCAGGTGAAAATAATAGTTGTAATTTTTTTTGGCTCGCAACTGCTTTTTTTGAGGTACGCAAGAACGCAGAAGATAATCCAATACTTTTTAGTTAACAAATAATTTTTCAATTTTCCCACCGTCCCTCCAAAGCTCCCTCAGTTCCTCATAATAAATTCAGGGAAGTTGCAAAGTGTAGGGTTTTACTTGCCGGATCTTGTATTTCCGCATGGAAAACTTAACTTGGCTCACTCAAGAGTTAAAACCTTATGTGATAATTTTGTGACTATCAAGGAAAGCGAAAAGCTAACTGTTAAGGAAAATTGAATAATTACTTCAAATGTTTTTAAGGAGGTGCGAATTGTTCGAAGAACTTATCTATATAACACCTAATAAATCTTTATTGAAAATTTGTTTCCAACATCAGTTGCATTGTTTTTATTTTTGTTTGATGTTCTGTAAGTACGAAGTACTTATACATTGTTTAAAACAATTAAACACGTTTTATTATCGTGAACAACTTTCCTTCTTAATGGGAAGGGTGTGGATTAACATGCGAGAGTTCTCGCAATGGTACGCTAGTAAGAATCCTATTTAGATAGATTTTAAATTAAAAATTGGTGTGTAATGTTTACATTGGGATAAAAAAAATCAATGTGGCCCCAAAATATTTACTGCATAAACTCTGGTAATCCGACCCTGGCCTGACTGGTGTGGCGATCTATGCAATACCATTGGGGAACCATTCGGGAACCACTGCCGGGCGCGCCTCAGCTCACAAGATAGTCGGGTATTAGTCCAAGCCTACGCCTTCTGGAGGGCGCGAGGGAAGGAATATCTGGCGTCTTGCACCGACGCTGGTGGCGACCAAATTACTGGGAAGGCTCTGTTTAGGAAAGATGGAGGGGGTGCTGGGTCTCGCGCGCCCGGGCTGGAGCGCCTCGGCCGTGGTCATAGCTCCACCACAAAACCATGCGAGGTGGCAGTTGCTCTCAGTCAAGTGTTGCTTTAAGGCGATCATTCAACTCATATTCATTAAGATATCTATAATTGGGTTTGTGAAACAGACGTCAGATAATGAAATAATATCCCAATGTTGTTCAATGTTCTTTTTACTGATTTTGTGCGTTTGTGAAGAGTTTGTTGGAAGTTTGAACACAATTAACTGGCTTAGCATACTTACTCATGTGCGTAAAATAAGCCTTGATTAGGTAGTTCATATTTGACATACATGCAATTGGAAACCATTTCCCCCTTGATGTGTCATTATTTTCTTATTAGTTATTATATGGTTTTGACCATTCTTGCAATATATGCTTATAGTCTATATCTGTTTGGTGACATATTCAATAAGGACAATAATGTATTTCTTTACCCTTGGCATCACTGTAAAGTTGCAAAACGCCATAATGTTTTGATTCTAAAAGTTGATTTGAATTTTATTCAATAGAGAATAAAAAAATGTTCAAATACAGTCATAATTATTAAAATATTATTTTACTTTTAATCTCAAGTAATATTTTATTCCATGCTATAATAATGATATAAATAAATTTTAATTTACATAATATTAGTTTAAACCCAACAGACCTCGTGTCTTTCTTTCAGTTATAACGCGGAATCTTTCGAATTGGGTCCCGCAGGGGGAAAAGGATCACAAAAAAAATTTTGATGCGTGGAAGTTACCATGAAATAACATAATTTGGCATACAAACGAAAGTTATGTCTTTAATGTCATTTATCACATATTCCTTTATTCAAATTATTAATACTAATTTTAAAAAAAAATATCATAGGAAAGATCATTTATTGCCAACTATTAATTGTGAAAAAAAAACAAACAATTTGGTAGAATACCGTTGATTTGATAATGCTTGCGTATATTTAAATAATAATATCATTAACAATCATAATTATTCACATAGTCTGTAATAATAAACAAGAATTGTGATTTGTATAAGATTTTCGTGGGCGTTTTACATTCGCTTGCACCGAGCGGTGCGGGTCGACCTTACAAAAAAGCAAGGCGGCGGTCGTTTGACTGTACAGAATCTTTTTTGGCGGCGTCTCGACCTGATGACCTCCACCTCGGGTTCGTGTTTCAAAAAACAGACCGTATATTTGTCGCACGCGGTCTCCGGAGGTCATAAAAATACCCGCTCGCGCTCTATTGTAAAGACGACCAGGACGGCGGGGGTCAGGAATCGCTCTGAATACCCGCGACACGCGCTTCGCGACGAATGGTTTAATTATTAAGATAGGGGTGGAGTTAATCAGGTCCGTTCACGAAGTGTGTTACTTTACATTTTAAATAAATATAAGAAGACTCGGTTATAATGAACCTTAACCTCGGTTATAGTGAACGTAGTAAATACAGTGGAAATACATCCCTTCCTACAAAATAATATATCACCTCAGTGCCACAAATTCCAACACTAGGCAGCTTGAAAAAATGTCGTACAACGGCCATAATAAAAGTAGTGTCCCGTGGGGTTAAGGTAGGGGACTGTGAATGGGCAACATACTGATGACCTTATGCCTCTCAATTTCACTGCGGAACAAAGGCCGTGTCCATCTGGTGGCGGCAAAGCGCGATTGCTGATTTCAGTATCAATCTTGGTGATATTCCGCAGGTCAAAGCGCGTTGAGTTCTACGTAGGTAACAGGAAGCATCCGACGCCACAGCCTGGCAATGTCCGCCGAGCTGCGCGGAAAAGCGATGTTTCATTAGCCGATTGCGTCACTCCGTACCGAAAGTATCTCGTGTATTATTAGGCGAGTAAAAGGGCCTTCAGAGATAGGACGTTATTCCTACAGTGCAAGAGACGTCGGAGGGTGTCAAGACTGCATTACGACACTTAGACACAGAGGACAATATAGAATAAATTATGGAGAGAGCACGAACTGTGGAAAGCATCTAGAGAAATTACCAATGAAAAAAGTACGAAGCAAACTATTGAAAAGAAATTGATTTTTTTAAGGACAAATAAAAATGTTGAAATTTTCAGTTTGTGCTGTTAATCTATTTTGCTTGCTGTTAATCTATATTAATAAAATCATAATGGAAATAGCGAACCAAAAATGTTAGTCCTCAGAAGTTCACTATAACTGGGGTCAACTGTATACTTAATTTATTCCTCAAATTGTTCAAAAAGTTCGTCCTGACAGAATTGAACCTTTGTCTCGTGGTTGAGACCTATTTGTTTTGACCACTAAGCTATTGAGAGGAGAACTGAGTTTAATATGTTATTTTCTGTTGTTTTTTTTGTGGTCACAACAATACAATCCAGACCAGGTCTAACTTTCCAATTTTTGTTGTAATACTACCATCAAGTATTTCATTTTAATTTATTGATCTGTATGATTCTGATTTTTTCCCAACAGGTATCATGGAAGCTATGAAGATATTGAATCTTTAAAGGAGTTACAAGACTCAGCAACATGAAAACAAATAACGTAATGGTAGAATCGTATTTTTTTCTTTTTTGGAGAATGTTCTGTAATGTCCACAATGAATTATGACATGTCCTGCATATTATTACTTCGTATGAAATGAATTTTAACAATGATGAATTGTAACTGAATGAAAGCAAAATTTATGTATTTTTTGTACTATTGACAATTTTAGCACCTGATGACAAATCATGTTTGATTAATATTAAAGTATTTTCTGTATATGTGTTTTCACTTAACCTCCACTTTCATTGAACACATCATAGCTTTATTAGTTAGGAAATTTTAGTGTTGTTCTACAGAGATCAGCAGGATTGTGTTTTTGAGTAAACTAAAATTTTGAAATGTCAGTTGTTTAGAGTGACTTGCGCAACCATTCGTAACACGAGCCCTTGCATTCTGGACTCTGTCCAACACACAAATGAAGAAATGAAGTAGTTTTCTTTCTTTATTCATATCGTGAATGTACTTTTATTTTCTGTATATACTTTTATAATTACTTAATACATAATGAAAAGGAAGATAAGTAATTATAAAATTCTTTTTAAAGATTTTATTGCTACAATTTTCTACAATCACCTTTATTCCAAAAGTAATAATCAAAAAAATCTAAACAGAAACGTCTGAATCATACCCAGAACATTTATTGCAAATAATATTTGAATGACAAGTAATATTTCCACACCTAGAACATGTAACAGGAGTATTACTATTTTTCTTTCGTCTGCATTCGATTTATGTACCCCTCTTTTTCTTTATTTGTGGCTCCCCGTTTCTGTCATTTGCCATTTTTTCACTGTCATAACGTTTTTATATAAAATAGGTTATATCTGAAGGTAAATTGGTTAGGGAATTTTGAGATACACATTATTCATGCCAGAGAAAGGTGAAAAAAATTCTTTGTAAGGGTGGATCATTTTCCATATTCAGCATTTGTGACAGAACTTATGCATTGATTCCCGCAATATATAAAAAAAAAAAAAAAGAATAGGACCATTGGCCATATTGTAACCGGTTATTATTATAGTTTTTTTTGTTTCTTTGTCGATTTCATTGTCATACATTGTAAAAATTAATTGCAGATTTTTCTTCTTGGTGGAATAGCTCAGAAGTATCTGTTTCTTTGAAATCTGTAAATATATGATCATGAAATTTTCTTCTTATCGACTCAAACTCTGGGGAAATCTTTTTTTCTCAAGGTTCCCACAGTTGTGACTTGCTTTTCAGACAAATATTGTGCTAATGGTAAATTAGTCTGTTGTGACATTTCTGTTTTTTTTTTAATGTTTGATTTACTCTTGGTTAATTTCCTTCTGATTCTTATGTTTATTCCTACAGTTTTACTTTTTCGTGTGTGTGTGTGTGTGGGGGGGGCATGCTCCCCTCAATCCGACACTGAGATTATATCAGTAACATGTCCAACTGCTTGAGTTACGCATCTGAATTTGTTTTGATAAAAATGTACGTCTTTCTTTGCGTTTAGAGCATTTTGAAATCATTTTAAAACCATTTTATTGACATTTTTGGCGATGTTTTAGTAATGAAAATTCGCCCCTAGTTGCTATATTTCACCATTCTAGGTATACTATATAAATGCACGACTATGAGTCGAGTGTGATCGGTACATTAAGATAGTTTTTTTTATTCAAAAGGTTTTGGTCCTATGTGTCATATTAAAGATTATGTAGAATGACGCAGGCTACACTCAGCTAATGCTGTGTTACGATTTTAATGATTATCCGAAAATATTTTACGGAGTAGAGCGAAAGTTATGTAAAGAAAGAAACGGCGAATTTTCTACAGAAAAGCTCCTATTACAGGTCGGAACGAAAAAGGGGATAGATCTAGTTGCTAAATTTAGAAAAATCCTCCAACACATGGTGTAGCCAGAATTATGCTTTGTGGGTCCTTGAAGACGAAATATCGAATGCCAACAAAACGTCTGTCAGTCTGTGAACGCCAGCAGCTAAACCGTTCAGCCGATTTTCTCCAAAATTATTTCCCAATCGATCTGGCTGTCACGGCCCCTGCAATTTGAAATCGATTCTTCAATTTTGGGGGTACTTTGCGTGAATCCCCTGGGACATTTTTCAAAAGGGAAGGCTTCGTAGTTTTTTATTATTTTTTGTTAGATAGTGTGAGGGACGTTTAAGAGAATGGTGCAGGTCTCATGTTCGTTAAAAAACATGATTTTTGGAAAATTTCAAAAGTTGAAAGTTTTTTCGGAATCTTCCTACAGCTAAAATATTAAAGATAGAGATTTTTCTCTTACTGAATTATGTTCCTTCAAAACAAGATTTTGAAATAAGGTCATGTACAATATTTCGAAAATTTGAGAAACTTTTCGTGTAATTTTACCCGAAAAAAACGGGCGAAAAGTACTCACTTAACACAACTTGTTACTTAAAATTTTCGTGAGAAGTTAAAAGTAATAGTTGCTGAAACATTTTTTGGGGGATGCGGGAGATTATCCTCCCCCTCCCCCGTGGATCCGCGCCTGCCTACAACTGTTGCAATCAAATTAATGCTTTCAACTTAGATGTAATCATAATTGTAATCAAGTGTGTTTTACTTAGTTTTAATTACATGTTTTTCTTTTCATTTAGTACAGGCCTCTGAATTTTCCCTAAGTAATAGTTACGTCCTCTGTAGATACTAACATTTACAGGAAATGCGACCGCGGCGGATTATAGCGGTAATCCTCGGAGTTAATAACAAAGCTATCAAAGGTAAGGGGCCGTCCATAAATAACGTAACACAAATTTGGAATATTTTGAATACCCTCTCTTCCCTCTGTAACGCACTTGTAACGCGCTCTTGAATCCCAATGATTCAATTCAATATCATTGATGAAAATATTTGCATTGTAACAATTTACAGAATATAACTTCTTTGATTTATTATATTTTGAATTTAATTTGTTAATATGGTAAAGTTTTAGTGTAAGACTGAATAAAAGGAATTATTTCAAAAATGTTGAAATATTTTAAAAATAAATATCAGCATTTCGTAACACTAAACTATGACCCTACCTCTATGTAACGTGCCTCAAACCCTCTCCCCCTCTTCAGCGTTACGCAATTTATAGACGAGCCCTAAGTGGGAGGAGCTGGCTTATAACTCATCCGAACCATTTCAACAGTCCACTGCCACCTCAGTCAGCTCCCAACAGAATTTTTTTTTACCCCGTAGTGAACGGGAAAAAAATATCGTGCTGCAGAGTGCACTCAACTGAGTGGATTCTCCCAACTCACGCTAATCCTTAACGAATCTTTTTACTCGCTACACCTAGAGTTTACCATACAATCTGCTTGGAACAGCTCTAAGATTTTTACCAATGAGAAGGTTCAATTTGGGGTTCTATGATACACATGGTTACGATTTAGAAATATGCATGCGGCGATGTGAGTGGGATCGGTTACTGCTGCTACAATGGCAGGGTATCGCGATTTAATTGAGTTTGAAACTGATGTAGTCGGCGCAAGAGAGATTGGATATAGCATCACCGACATTGCGATGAAATTTGGAGTTTTCCATACGACCATTTCAAAAGTGTACAATTACAGGTTTCTGATAAAACGTCAAACCGCCATCGCTGCTGCCGCAAAAATATCGTGCAAGAACGGGATCATTCAACGAGACATTATCAATATGGGGTTTCGGAGCCGAAGGCACACTCGGGTACCACTTGATGACGGCACGACAACGATTTACGCATCGCCTGGGCCCGTTTCACATTATTTCGAGAGGATGGACGTGTACGAGTATGGTGTCTCAGAATCCATGAACACTGCATGTCAACCGAGGAGTATGCAAGTTGGTGGAGGCTCTTTGATGGTAAGGGGCGTGTGCAGTTGGAGTGATATTGGGACCCCTGGTACGTCTAGATACCACTCTGACAGGTGACACGTACGTAAACATCCTGCCTGATCACGTGCACCCATTCATACCCATTGTGCATTCCGATGGACGTGGGTAATCCCAGCAGGAAAATGCGACAGCCCACACGTCCGGAATTGCTACAAAGTGGCTCCAGGAACACTTCTGAATTGAAATACTTCCACTGGCCACCAAATTCCCCGGACATGAACACTATTGAGCAAATCTGAGATACCTTGCAACGTGCTGTTCAGAAAAGATTTCCACCCTTTAGAACTCTTACAAGTTTATAGACAACCCTGCAGGATTCATGGTGTCAATTAACTCCAGCACTACGTCCTACGTTAGTCGAGTCCATGCCACGTAATGTTGCGGCACTTCTTCGTGCTGCCCTACACGATATTTGGCTGGTGTACCTGTTTTTTGGCTTTTCAGGGTATACAAGTCGAATTCTGAATACAGATGGAAATGGCAGTTTTTTGTAAGAATTTAGATGAAAAATTTCGCCTCAGTGTATTACTAACATTTGCATAGGCAAATCAGCCACAGATTTGGGCTCTTATCCCTCTTCGTGCCATTCGTGAAGAATTCGACTTAGTGCTGCGAGGACATGGAGAACGATAATTTGAATAACCATATTTCTCATTGAACTGCAGAAAACATGCACAGTTAGTAAAATTACATTATGGCCAGAAACAAAACAACGGTCCATTTCCGTATTTTCTTCATAGAAAGAGGGAAACGACCAAAAACAAAACGTGATTGAGATGGGGTCATTGAAACAATTAGGCTACGTTACTCGTTCAGCGCTGCCCCAAAATCTACAGGACTCCGTGATGTTTTAAGTAGCAGCCGACGTTTGTATTCGTAGTACATAACCCCACCACCGGAGGCGAGTCTCCTTTCAGTAGTGCGAGTGCCGCACAAGTCGGTCCCGATCCCCGTCAGCCGTAACCGCCTCTCCTTGGTCTGAGTAGCGGGTTTCACGCTATATCTTTAGTGGCGTTAACATGGCAGCGGCCAGAGAGACGGCCGAGGAGATTAGAGTAAAATGGTGTACGAATAATAAGTAAATTACATCCACGTGATTCCTGTAAGCCTCTTGTCATTGAACTAGAAATCCTACTTTTGCCTTGCGTATTTATTTACGAATCTTTATTTTTTTTTGTGAAAATTACTGATGCCTGGAATATTTTAAAGCAATACAGATACTTCTAATTACAGCACACAGCATAGAAATTACCGCAGGTGCCAGTGTCAACAACTCGTTACAAAAAATACTCATATAATACATGTACGTTACTTTCCATTACATTGACAGATGGCATTAAATAATTAAAAACGATACACAAATTTTAGTGCCTAGTATAATCGTTACTGCTGCATAACCGTTTCTATACATGTAGAAAATGTGTTGACCATTCAAAACAAAAACATTTATCTTAAAAATGATATTTAGAGAATCATTAAACTTGTATTGCGTTATTTAAAAACAGACTAATGTTACAAGTAATTTACTTCAGCTTTTGGGACAGTGACGTTCTTCTCAATCAGGTTTTCCGTCCATTTTCCCTGATACGTTGAGAAAATGCTGAGATGGTCCCTTGTTTTGCGTCAACTTTTTGTTGAGCTCTTTTTGCTAGTGCTAGTGGTCTATTTCATTATATCTAATTTACACAATTTTTGAAAATAGATAATTCAAAAAATGAGACTTTACCATTTTGAAGCGTCCTTTACCTCTGTGAATA